TTATTTGTGGTAAAATAAGTATCCCATGGTAAACACTGAATAAGAATTTCAGTCCGTTTCCAGGTTTGCTGATCAAAATGTCTGCTCTGGTACATCATTGAACCTTTAGAGTTCAATTGGATGGCGTTTAAAGAATGAATAATGCTCAATACAACTCTATGGTCGTTCATAAAAACATAATTGGTATGCACTGAGGTTGAGTATGTGTTGATAGTAAATAATAAATCAAGTATATTATTCCCCCTAGTTGACTTCCGAACTTGTTGAACCCATCCACAAGTTTCTAGTGTTTCAACTAGCTTGTTATATCGACCTAGTACCGGAGTCAAACCCCATGTAATTTTTGGCAGATTAAAATCACCTCCGATGATTTTAAAAATTTGCGGTCGGTGCGAAGCAATGGAAAAGATGTTTGTTATCAATCTGTCAAACTTAGTATCCGCATGAGATGGTCTGTATATGCATCCCACCAGTAGATAATTTTGAGATCCACAGTTTACAGTAATTCTACAACATCAAGAGCTTTATCCCTAAATTTGCACGCCTGAATGTCTGAACGGACACAGACAGTTGTACCGCCTCCTAATCCATAACATCTATCGGTTCCAAAGAAAACGTAGTTATCTACATTCTTACGACAGGACGAGTCCATGTTGACAATGATAGGACTTCCATATAAAATTGTATAGATTAGGTAGTCTCATATGACAAATTCACAGTTTTGGGATTAAATGTACTATGTATTAGTACTAGTATCTGATATAGACCATGATCTTATAATGTTATTTCCCTACGAGAAACATGGTTAACTGATTTTTTTAGCTAGTATGGCTGATAGACTAAACCGTAGGGGAAGTGGGTTTGTCCAGTACTCATAAGCACCTTAACCACACGAGCTGTCGAAACAGTGGCACATGATTTATGGACGTGTGAACTGGTGAGTTGCAGATTGAAATGTAAACGCAATATATTGTATTATTTGCAGTATACCGCAGCCCAGAATGTACAGTAGATGACCCCCTCCTAAGAAAACTTACGTCCTGGTGAAGTAGAGGTGCAAGCCTTATAACAGGCGAATTTATTGAACCGTATATAAACTAGGTAAACTCAGAAGTCGGGTCATCGACAACGTCACTTCATTGCAAATTGTTAGGAACCACAATCGCCCTAGCTTTATTACAGCACACTAGAGGTCACACAAAATATGAAATACAAAGACCATCGTCTCTCTTGGACTTAGTCTTCATACAAGTTGATGATCCCGGACAAATGACTTTACTCCCACCTCTAGAGCGAATGGATCACGCAGTCATCTTATTCAAGCTCATGGCAGAGATGGCCTGTCAAACAGTTGCGTCATCCCATCCTAATATATAGATGGTAGACATCGAGGTGGTAAACTCTGCAGCACCGACTGAGAACTAGACAATTGTCTCAGATGCATCAGTAGAAGAGCCATGGACTAATTTCAGGCAGTTACACAGTCAATTAACTCAACCATATATACCCTGAACAGTCCCGAACAATAAGAAACACGGCCATCCCTGGATAGGCTGTGATATACGGCGTTTACCAAGACAAAAGAAGAAATGCTTGAACATCACCATCAGCCTTGACACAGCAAGTACAACGGAACGTCACAGGTCGGTAGGAAATTGGCGTATAATTACAATCTAGGAAGCTCAGTGAACACATGAAATGCAGTTGGCCTCATCTGTATTCGTGCAACCTAAGAGAGTATTTCCGTACATAAATTGCAGAATAATGACCGAGCACTGGATTCTCAACTTAATTACGGAACGGAAAGGATCTAAAATGATAGAATATGACCAGGGCAAAGTAGAGGCTATGGCAGACTATTACGGGGGAGTTTTCACTAAGCAGCCTCTTCTAGACGGAGAATTAGACCCAAATAAAACGCCGAAACATCGTCTACTCACAATGAATTTAGATCGAGACTATGTTCTTAAAACCCTTGGCACTTTAGCCCCTGAACTAGACTCTAAAATCTGAAAATTAATTTCAAAATGCATTGTTGCATCACCGACTGTGTTATTCAATACATCGCTCGGTCTGTCTAAGCTGACTAGCCATTGTAAGGGTGGAGCACGGTGTTCCCACTCATGATTTGGGGTGGATGCATGACCAAGCGCCTTCATCTAGGTGAGTTCGTCAAAACTAATGCGGTCAGCATCAAATGTTGAAGACTTCAAGAGTTATTGATTTTGTGGATTTACTTACCGCTACGGGCTTTATGACGCACATTAACCCAGCTGTATACTAATATGTTCACTACAGTATTCACAACGTATGTCAGCTTCAAACCTTTAAACTGCGTTCAGGCTGAAATTTCCTGTTTAAAAGGTTGCTCAAACATTTGAAGAAAGAACGGAAGGCAGCCACTTGTTCAGTTCCAGAACTCTAGGATTTACCATACTAAGAAAAGCTTGACAAGGTGGACCAATATATTTTTTCCTGCCGCAAATGAAGATATGATCAGATTTTGATTTACAAAATGCTTAGAGGTGATTTTGGATTCGACGCATACTCTCTTTCTACCAGATCAGGATAACTTAGAGTACGTACCGGATGGAGCACAAAAACCAAGGACGAACAAATACCTGTGGCATACAGGCTTTAATATCGAGGTATCAGTCACTGGAGCCTGTGATCCGAAGAAGTAGTGTTCGTATTCTTTAATTGGCTCTTTCAAGTGAAGGCTAGACACTCTCAGAAGCTCAATAGGGAAGGAGTAACTCAAGACGTAGGCCTTCTGTCTTCAATACAAAAATCTGAAATCTGAAAATCAGGAAATGAGTGTGAAGAAAAAAATAGTTTTCATCAGCTCATGTAACCACAATGAAACAATAAGAAGCAGGCACAAAGGACTCAGTCGGTTTGTGCAAGCTCGTGATAAAGATATTGGATATCGGATTAAAGCACCCTACAATGAGATTGGATATTGTATTTTGAGACTAACCTTGGCACGAGGTTTGTAAAGTTTTATACAGACGGACACGATAGGTAAGTAGTAAACTCCTATTCTGAGAAGTTCCTATTGTCGAGTTTTACAAACAGTATCCGGATCATACACTTTAAAAAACACAAGTGGCCTTTGAACAGCAATCCTGCTTTAATTTTCAGTCTAATTTTGTACGAGGTTGTGGTTAACAACACATCTTGGAACTAAAAGCTGCATATAAAGCGTCGAAGGTCAAATGAAAACCCTGGAGAATGATTAAGATTTGACACTTTAAATCTGAATTCAGGGGAAATAAGTTCGATCAAAGCAGTTAATAACGGCGTCATCCCGGGTTTCGAAACATTTAACCATTCTTCACCACTTTTACCAACTCGCTGTTACTGGATAAACGATGACCACGAACATATTCTGGAGGGTTGTCTGTTATCGCACATTTTTTGCGTTGCGGCCGAAAGTATACCACAGCCCTCATTGGGGCTGTTTAGAATTAGCGATGGATCGAAAAAACAAACCAATTGCAAGAAAACCACACCGTATTCACTTAATTCATGCAATCAGTTCAAGCACTATAGAAAATTACTATACTCTAAGTAGTAATGGTACCAGTAGTGGTAGTAAAGATTGTATTTAGAAATGTTACAAGTATAAACATTTCATTATTCATGATCTATGGGGAGTTATCGAGTGTGTATACATGCTCCATTGCAAACATTTTTAAACTATGTCGCTAAAATTCTTTAACAGTTAGGATAATTACACGGGCAATAAGCAGGTGGTCTAAACTTATTAATATCTCCCAGTTAATGACCTCGTGGATTTGTGCTGTATCTCAATTTAGCTGCCCGTAGCTCTCTTCCAGCCTACTCACACCAAATAACATCCCTCGCCAAGGTTGGTAGTAATTAAGCATACACAAAGCATGTCTCAAACACAGTTGGTAAAGACTCAATACCCCATCAACCGACTTGCCATCTTTACTCAGTATCCTGTGCCTAACCTCAGCATTGGTCATTCAGTGGTCTCATCAATGCCGTAAAGACACCTATGGTCAAACAGTGGTAATCCACAAATATCTGTTTTTAATAGACATGTTTCACACACCTGAAATAAAAAAGGAAACTTATCTGCAGTAAACCCATTTTCTGGTTCCCTACGCTAAAAGTGAACAAAGTTGCCAAAAGGCAGCCGAACTTTGTGAATTCGTGCCGAAATTAGAGTGGCGTGCGTGAAGATAAAGGCCATTAAATAGAAGCCATGAAAAGGTTTGTTTCTAAAAAGACAATCGGCACAAATGTCATTCAGTCGAAAATGCTTTTTTTACAAGAACACAATAGGGAATTACGTTAGAATCACCCTTCTTCCTTTCTGAGCCTGATTAGTAATGTACCACTCCGAAGAAATGTACGGTCATCAATTACTACGCAGTGATGGATGCTAACCTAAAAACCAGCTTTCATTTTGTAATATGTCCCACTGATCACTAAATCCATGCAATTGTTCCTGGCATACCCCCTCTCCATTGCTACATCGTAAATCTCTTATTTTCTGGTCAGACGCGACAGAGGATAATCTGGTGTGACATTCAGAGATTAGTCCATTGCTCTCAGTATAACAGAAACTGGCATATTGAACACATATAGTGGTTGACTTAGCGTGTTGTTAGATATGACAATCACAATGTTGCAGAAGGACTCAACAGTCTGTTTCCCACAAATTGAATTAGTCGTTAAAGTTTAGAATAACGTGACTAATCGGTGTAGGGTAAACTTTGATATCGTTGATAGGTTGCTACGTCAACTTTTTTAGGTAATATTTAACGAAGGAACGTATTTACTATATATATGTATGTATGCTGGTTGTGTATAATCTACTTCTTCGGATTTCTTAAGTCTTTCTTTTTTGTTATCTCGATCGTGCTTTCAGTCTCTCTTGAGCGACTAAACGTTATCTAATAATTTCGAGAAGTCACTATTAAATATCTGAATATAGAGCCCTAAAAATATCAGTGTGCGACCATATGGACCTTTTCGAGGAGAAAGTTCGTCTACATGAATCTACAACGGAAGTTGGTGGGCTCATAATAACTAAGTCAAAAGAAAATTTCAAACAACCTCAAAAGTCCTTATTTGGACTTGATAAGTTGGCGGCAAAAAAGCGACAGGAATCGGAGGATCTTAATCTACAGTTTAACAAGCGCGATGTTACAAATAAAGAAAGGTAATGAAGTTTTTGCATAAGTTTTACTTTTGCATCAGGTTCTATAGGGAAAGGCGCGTTGAAACCCCATCCAATCGTGGGGGTGTTAGCAAAGAATATTTCGATTCTCAGGCAAGAAGGCGTGAGCGTGACCAGAAAGAACGCTTTAAAACCGGTCTTGTATCAACATCCAGAAAAATTAGTGAGAACTACTCAGACTCTCGAAAATCATCAGGTAAACTTTAATGTAGTGTAGTGTAAACTATTCTCAGTGAATCAGGTACATATTTTCAAACCTTTTAGTTATTTGTTCTTGGTTCAATTATATTCACTTAAAGCAGTTGTGGTATTACAAATTGTTGATTACGTTTCATATTTCTTGCCGAAGCTGTTTTACTGTACGAATAAACTTTAGAGAAACTCTCTTAAATAATCCTTTTTTTAATTTCTTGGCAGACTATTCTCGCATTGAATTAGTCAGAGAAAAAGAATCTCTCAGCACTCGACATCGGAGAGAAGCAGAATGGGAAGATGAAACACCTAATCACAGCAGTCGGGAAAATAGAAGTACTACTGGAACAAGTATTAACCGATTTGAAACTCCTGAAATATATAATGTTGGGGGACGGTCTCCAGGACATTCTAGCTGGGATGATTCTGGTTTAGGATCTAGTCGATCTACTACCCCCCGCACTACCGGATCACTAGCTCGTAATTCCAATAATGATCGATATACCTATACTCCTATGCCTACTCCAAGTTTTAAGCATAATTCATGGATGCAATCAAATAAAAATAACACAGGGAGTTCGGACTCCAGAAAACAACATTCGGGTCGTCATACTCATGGCCAGTCTTATGCACAAGTTTCCAGTGAAAACGAAGGCGATAGTATGAAACCTGATTCTACTGAGATAGAGGAAGATGGTGATGACATTAAGGCTGAAAATGAACGCTTAGATCGTAATTGGTATCAAATGGATGATGGCTATGATAATGATAACCATCCGTTTTCTGGTAAGTGGTTTGGCCATTGCACTTTTACCAATGAATCCTACTATTCACCATCATTTGACAAAATACTTTTTTTATCTAAACACTAATGGTATCTCGCTCATTTAGATATCCAAATAACAATGAAATTCTAATGTGAAATTTTTTAAACTTGTCCACTTTGTGTAACAGCGAAAGTGTGATTTTTTCCTTCAAGTTCAGCCGAATTTGGTTTTCCAAATGATATAGTGTCAATGATAAGTCAGGTTCTTGAAATAACTTATAATTTCTAATACATATGACCTATGTTCTTCATCAGACGATCTTGGTGTCATAAATATTCACTTTCTACTTTTAGTATATGTACTAGATTTCCTACTCCATGGTTGTATTTCATTTATTAAATCCCAAGTATTTAGGATAGTTGAAAATGTAAGCCCGCCACTAAGTTGCAGTGTTTGTGTCACATAATAAATATTTGGTCAATTTGTCAGTCATTGCCAGAACAGTAATTTGATATGTCTAAACTTCGCCGCATTATTTTATTAACAAAAAAGGTGTGTAGACATTATCCGTTAAGTTGTACTGATTATTTGTTGGTAGTAAATGAGTTTGGAGATTATAATTTTAAAAAATACTAGAAACAACCCTGGTGTTGTCTAGCTTTAGTTTAAACACATCAGCTGCTCATATTTTTGACCTCTTTTTAGGCTGATCCTAGTACCTTGAAGTAAGTACGACTGACCATCAAGGTATTGTGCTGCAAGAGTTACAAATTGCGGTAAATCATTTATCAGTTTCACTTAGTTGTTGTAAGTCTACTATAAAAATGATAATCAAAACGCAGTTGTCTTTCCTGCTTACTGAGTTGGTCAGTTCAGTTGTGAACATAAGTTCTTATTTCAGTCTTACTGTTCTTTAACCGATCATTCTGGCATAACAGAACCTAGAGAAATGATCGTCCTAGCCAATGTGTTTCGATTAGATCATCACGATGAGCAAACGCAGCCACCACGTCAAGGTAGCAGCTACAGTTAATAGCTAAACAACTATTAAAACAGGAGTAGTATACAATGAACGACCGAATCCTATTCATAAATATCACCTATGAAAGTTTTGACAAATCGAACCAACTGAACACATAAATTTACTAATTTTGATATCTGTTGATGGACCTTATTAGTGAAATTTTCTATCTCCATGTCACTCATTCATGTTGTCTCAAGCAATAGACAGTATTCTATATATTGTAACTGTTTTTAAAAAAACTATCCCTAGACATTCCTGAAGAGTATGCTGCTAAAAAGGAACGTCAATTAGCAGAACGTAAAAAACGACATAAACAACGCTTAACTGCAAAAGCTGTCCAAGTTCATAAAGACAATCAAGCATGGGAACATAATCGTATGTTAAGATCTGGAGTTGTTCAACGAGTAGATTTTGAACAAGATGAAGATTTCGATGAAGAAGGTGAAGCTAGAGTTCACTTATTAGTTCGTAATATACTTCCACCATTTTTGGATGGGCGAATTGTTTTCACTCGTCAACCTGAACCTATTATTCCTGTCAAGGTGAAGTAATAATATGTTTTAGATATATTATTGTTTTTACTCATATTTTTATCTGCCCAAAGATTAATAACTCAATGTACTATTAATAAGTTAGGTGGTCTTATAGAGATTTGTATTACTCAAATGTAGTTTTCAACTGAAGATCCATTTTAAGTTCGAGATTTGGATAACCGTCCCATACTTGCTTAAGACTCCTCACCAGTAAATACCTATTGGGTCAAACTAAGGACCTTGAGATCTTGTGAACAAAATACCTTTAAGTCATCTAGTTTGATTTGTAAACAATCCACTATATCACAAGCTGATCAAAATAAAAATTTTTAGCCATTGGCTTTCGACTTTATGATTCAAAGATGTCGTACTCATTTTGAAACTTAAAAACCTAGTCTCACTCACGTAAGCTTGTTAATTCTTCAGTCCCCCTTCAATTCAATGGTTTTCTTAACTGACATCAATTTACAAAAAACAGTTTACTCTTAAATGACACCTGACTTAATACCCCAGCTACATAATCAAGGTTTCTGCACAACATTATTTCTTCAGCGGAAATGGCAATATTTTGATCTCGTTCGTTACTATGTAAATTTCTTTTAGCATAAGTTCTCTTAACAGCACCAATCATCAAATAAATAAAAATATCATAATTATATCTATTTGTAAACTACATTTTGTTTATCACATTCTCCTTTGCATTTTGGCTTTTAAAATTGATTGATACAACTTACGTTGCTTTCTTGTTGATTACTTGCAGAGGCATATAGTCATCTCTGTATATTCTTAATGATTTGAATATTCTACAAGTCGCCGGCGATATTTAATATTGAAAGATTTTTCACCTTTTATTATTCCCTTCTTATCATTGATATGGTCGATTTAAATCATCTTGTCATACGAACTTAGCTGTGGACAGAAACACAGTTTCGTTAATATGGTATACATTGTATACATTCACCAAGATTCTATCATCAATATATTTTTAGAATCTGACTAGGGAATACCAAGATACAGTTATGCCTTTAAAGTAATTGGTAGATATATTTTACTAAGTCTGAACTGTTTTAAATTCCTTTTCGTCTGTTGGAAATTAGATCATAGAATGAATATTTATGTGTATTCTTTTGGACCTCTATGAGAGTCACAGTTTATTGTGATGTAATAACATAATTTATTTTTACGACGAGAATATGTCAAATCATCTTGCCATATGCTATTGAGCTCTACAAATCGTCAGCAATCTCAGTTCTATTATTTTTTGACCTGAAGGGGCAGTACGTTAGAAAACGACAGAACTATCTTGGAACTGTTTTAAAAAATATTATTATGTGTAACAGTTTTTATAATATTGTGAGATTCCATTGATGGTTGATCGAATTCTGTACTATAAGTACAGGTATATTGTTTGAAGACATGTTAAGTAATTTTTGTGTTTTTAATTGTAGGACCCAGAGAGTATAATGGCCAAAGTTGCGCAGAAAGGCAGTGCCATTGTGAAATACTTTCGAGAACAAAAAGAACGTAAAGAGCACAAAAGAAAGAATGGCAATTGGCTGGTACGCGTATAGGGGAAGTTATGGGTATAAAACCTCCGGAAGAACAGGATAATTGGACAGAGAAATCACATCGTGATGCACAGACATTTGCCGATAAAGTAGGAGATATGAAATCTGAAGCAGTTAGCGAGTTTGCTACACGAAAAACCATTGTGGAACAACGACAATACTTACCAGTATTTTCCGTAAGGACATCCTTACTGAGAATGATTAAAGAACATCAAGTAGGTTCTTATCATTAGTTATCTATTTTTGACAGTAATTTAAATATTGAGACCGGTAGACTGATTGTAATTCACTTCATTTTAATTGTTAGCTACATTCTGTTGTTAGATATCGTCATCATTATCTTTTCTCGATGATGTTATTTGCTAATGTTGTAGAGTTCTGTTCATACTTATTTTTGATATATAGTAGTTATTATTAAAATAGGGGGTGTCGCGTTATTAAAGAAGTTATGGAACATTTCTAGTGTATCAAATACAGTTTGTGTAGCAGTCTCAAAAACAATGTGAAGCAGTAAATTGACAATATTTCATTGAAGTGTAAAAGATAGATGTCAACTTAATAAATGGAAGGCGAATAAGCAAACAATTGGAAATCACAACATGTATGATTAGAAGGGCTTATAAGAACACGATAAAATAAGGTAATAGACATGTGTCTTGTGAACACAGAACTGGGGGTTGGATTGTACTCTCCATTGCTCTAACCTTAAAGGTGGCCTGGGAGCTAAGATATTCGCTTTTTAACAGTTGGACCTCAGGTTAGAACTACATTTTTGTTATGTTCACCTACTGTCTAGTACTTCCTGATCACTTTGCTTCACTTGACTCTTCCCAAATCAGAATGGGAATTAAGAGCGAACAATGTGTATTTCGACAACATGAACATCAAAGATGTAGTGGTAAAAAGAAATCTAGAGTTTGGATAGGATTTACATGCGAATCTTCTCTATTCTTCCGCTAGCGCTGATTGGTTGAAAATGCTGAGGTCTTGGTGTAGAATGATTAATTGTAAAAGTATGAAAAGTATGTATAAAAATTCACCCATCTCTACACATGCAGGTACATCCAGACGACGAGTCTCAAATAGAACGAAACGCGCATCCTGGTTTCCACAGCTAGCCACTATCCATCTTTGCTTATAATACTTGTGAATTAAAGCTATATCAAGGCAATACGCACAGTATGCACATATGCTAATAAGAGAGTGATCAATTGCAGTCCTAAATATCAGTGGGAAGATTCAAATAAACAATATCAAATGAACGTATTTTCACATAGTTGTACAATATGTGGAGTAACATATATAGAGTAATATATCGGGTAACAACCCTATAGATTAATTCAATTAGGGTTATTGATAATAGCGTATTTGTAAGTCGATCAAACATCAAACAGATACGATTAGCACAACCCAGTACCTGGAAGACTTTATTACTACATAAGCAAACAAATAGTTAGCCATCAACAACTTGGAGCGTGGTATAAAAGTGCGTTGACTCAGGTTGCCATACCACATCATCACAATTAAACGAAATTAGTAAAATGAATTACGAAAGAGATTAGAATAATGTAACAGCAGTAGCAATGTGAACCGCTAAAGATTTTGATTGTATTTCAAAAAGACAAAAAGGAAAGGTGTATATTAAGGAATACTGGAACTCAAGGTTTAGATGAATATGGTGAATACATATATGTCGTTGTGGCCAGTCCTGATTTATTTCATTCAAAGTATCTAATCACTAAATTCACTTGGTATTGTTTTGTTTGTATCTTCCTATTGAGGTTTATGACTGCGATTGATCAGTCTATTATTGGCATATGTGCATACTGTGCGTATGCCTCGATATTGCTTTAATTCACAAGCTTTTATAAACAAAAATGGGTAGTGGCTAGCAGTGGAACCCAGGACGCGCGTTTCGTTCTATTTGAGACTCTTCAGCTGCATCTCAGATTGATGTTCACTCTGGAACTCGAACCCAGTACTTTTCGCTTAAAACGCCATCGCGTTATCCATTCTGGATTCCACTGCTAGCCACTATCCATCTTTGCTTATCTGACCACTAGTTTAAATAATCACGCGAACCCCAGCAAAGTCGTCTATTTCAAATGACACCTCGATCCAACAGTCAATAACTTCATAGATTGCTTTGTCTCAGGCAACCTTAGCTTTTTATCAACTTACTCCTATGCCAGTAATCACCGCTCAATAGAGGTAGCAAACAAATAGAAATGATCAAAGTCATGTAAACAGTTTTCGACGTCTTGTAGTCCTCTTGAAATTATTATGAGACAGTAACCGTATTCGGTTTATACATTTTTATTCTCATAGTTAAAATAATTAAATATATCAACTTGCGAAGCCTATTGATGTAGTTTTTTTCAATCTCTGATATATACTTCAATGTACGTAGTAGACAATCTCGTGTGGAAATTCTTTTTCATTTAAACTAGATTGTAGTGATTGTTGGCGAAACTGGAAGTGGTAAAACTACTCAATTAACTCAATATTTACATGAAGATGGTTTTACAACTTATGGCATGGTTGGTTGTACTCAACCACGTCGTGTTGCTGCTATGTCTGTTGCTCGACGAGTTGCTGAAGAAATGAATGTACGTTTAGGTGAAGAAGTTGGTTATGCCATAAGATTCGAAGATTGTACTTCTTCTTCCACTTTAATTAAATATATGACTGATGGAATTCTATTACGTGAGTCACTACGTGAATCTGATCTTGATCCATACTCTGCAATTATCATGGATGAAGCGCATGAAAGGTCTTTAAATACTGATGTATTATTTGGATTGTTACGTGAAGTAAGTTTCCTCCTTTTTAAAAGGTTCAACATAATAAATATTATAGTTTGAATATCATTATTAGTAAGGGTTTGAATTATCCTGTTGTTGATATTCAAGACTGAATAGTCAGTTGCTGTATGAACTCAGTAGCTTAGTATATAATGCCTTTGGGTGTGAAGCAAAGGGTACTAAATTCGACTGTCTATGAAAACTTCAATATTAAGGTACAGGTACATCCGGTCGAGGCGAAATGTGCCTCCCAGAATCGATCACAATGGCGTCGGTGTATACACTCTTTGTCTTCCCCTAAACCGTGAGATTAAAATTGCTACATATCTTTCTTTCTACTAACTAATTTTTTCTTCCTGTACTACATCCTCATTCATAATCTTTCTTTTATATATTAGTACCATTGAATTAACTACGTATATGAATTTTGTGTACATCTTGTTGTGCTAATGAGATGTGATAACTTGGACCGATGAATATATGTGCCTGGTCCTACGTTGTAGCTGACTGTCTGATTCCTCAGCAGTGCACATCCACGATCTCGCACAGGAACTCGAACCCACGACCTTTGGTTTCGCTCGTGAACGTTTGACCTCTAGACCACTGAGCCGCCGTCCAGCGGTGTCAGTGTCTAACTCCAATCGATCCATGATCTTTTGCAACCCTTCATCCATTGTCTAAGGTGGAAAACTATCTCATACCCGACATGGTTTGGACTCCCCCCAGTGAGTACAAAATTATATTTTCGACGTTGCGTGATTTAACGTAAGCCACTTCTTCAGAGTAAATGAACGACCGGATTTACTCAGTTCTTGAAGAAAAGATGGTGATTTTTTTTGTACATCGGTCATTCATTATCACCTTAGCAACTTACTATATTGACAGTCTATGAAGTTGATTACGTTTGTTATATAGCATTTGATAAATAGGGTTTCTTAAAAATACTTTTTTATAGGTCTAAAAGACTCTATTATTTGTAAAGGCTTGTATTCTATCGTTGTTTACGTACAAAACCTCATTCAATCAGTCATGTTTGGCATTTGGGGATCTTGAGCGGATATCTCGATATTGTGTGTAGCTACAAGCTGACTAATAAATATTTTGAACAGTGGTTAGCATAAGATAAAACGCGGGTGTTTGAAGCTATCTGTACCAGATGAAAGTCCAAGTGTAAATATCAGTACTGAGGTCCAAGTGCATCCAAATGATAACCAGTTGTAACTAACGTATCGTCCGCCGAAAGTGTGCGTTGGTACAAACTGCCATTCTACATCAATGGGAAGAATCAAATTTAAAAAGATAAAGAGCTGAGAAATCAGAATAATGTAGCAGCAATGAAAAGGGATAAACATTGAAAATGTGGTTCGGAAATACAAAATGAAAGGGTGTCTATGAAGGAATACTGGAAATCAAGATCTGGATGAAGATGGTGAATGGATACACGTCATTGTGATCTATTCAAAGTTTCAAACTCCTTATCGGAGTTATTACTATGACCCTGACCAGGTGGTCTTAATCTCCCTAAACGGCCTACTTGTATAATCAATGACGTCATGGACTGATGCCACATTTAGGTTTGGGCTTCTAAGCTTTCTTCCGGCTCACTACTACATCAGTTGACAATGTAGATAGAGATACATGATGGTTAGGCACACGTAACACCTGTCTCAACAACTTCGGGTTTTCAAAATTCGTAACTTTATCAACCGCTTTACCAATATTGCCTAACCTCAACATTGCTTACGTAGTCGTTACACAATATGCCCTATGATAAGATCCAGCTGGTGAGTCGCAAATAAAACGAAACACTCATTCTAGGCTAGACTGCTAGCTACTCAGTCAGTCAGTAACAACGTAGAACTTCGTACGAACGTACATCAGTTCGAGTTGCCATACCATATTAGCACAGAGATATAGTTGTGGTATCAAGGTTAATATCAGTCCGTCAGTCAGTCAGTAACAACGTAGAACTTCCTACGTACAGATATCAGTTCGAGTTGCCACACCACATTAGCACAGAGATGTAGTGGTCGATTCAAATCCCGTAGTGGTAGAGGTAATAAGAGTATAAGCAATAATCGGAAAGATTAGTGTTTGGAGATGTTACTTAAAGAGTATAATCCAGTGAAATAAATTTGGGAAGAGAAAAAAAGAGACAAGGAGGAATAAGGAGATCAAAATTATGGAGAACACAAAGATATGATGCACTTGCGCCATTGCAAACGATTTTGAGTCATGTCATTCAGGGTCTCTAACCATCGGTTGCTATCATCTCGCGGTCCCCAACCAGATAGTCTACACCTACCGACATGACTCAGTCCACTTGTCAGTGACTTCATGGACTTGTGCTATGTTTTGGTTTGGCCACCCCTAGCTTTCTTCCAACCTACTCCTATACCACTGAACATCGCACGTTGAGGCAGTCGGTCGTTGGGCATACGTAACACGTGTCCCAGCCATCTCAACTGATGAAGTTTCACTACGTCATCAATTGATTTGCCATCCTTACCTTACTATCCAAAATGTTATCTAAGAAGCCTGTTGGGCATTATATATAACAGTTGGAAATCCTAATTGTTTTCCCACCGAACTCGTAAATTAGTGCGAACGTGTTTCGTAAATACCCTATTTGTGTTTTTAATGGTTCTCCGAGTTCGATGATCTAATTACAGAGCTTTCATTTATTATTTATTTGTTTGAACACATAAATATTGGTACAAAGGGGCACCAAAGACATGTGCGCCACATAAGTTGCTTGATGTGTGTGTGGACTATGATACTACTCGGGTACCCAAACCGAAGCAGGTGGTTTTCTTAGGAGTTCATACCCCAAGCCTTTGGCCTAGAGGCCTAATCCACAAGGTAGTGGAGCAACATAAGAAGATGCAGTCCCGTGGCAGCTGGTGACCAACGATTTGTTCATACACCATTTGTTCCCTCAGGATCCTGGAGTTCATGAGCACCATTGGTGTGCAATAAGGCTTTTATAACTTCCTAGGTGGAATCTCCGCATCCACCAACCCGGGTAAAGCTCCGAACGATCGCTTTTCGTCCTTTCAATTTTGTAAACAACACCCTCGCTGCGAGAAAGCAGTAAGTAGGACTTCCCTGACCGGGAAGGTCAGTTATTACAAAGTCGTTCCCGTCGTAATTATTGTTATCGTTACTGGACTTTAAAAAATACATTTAATTATAAACATTGAAATGATCTCGCGCATTCCCAATCAATTAACAATAATTGTATATATTATTTACTACTTCTTCATTTTAGCTGTTATTCATGGACATCATATTACAGTATTAGAATTGTAAATCTCCGTATTTTTCAAAAGTTTTCACTCTGGAGAAATAATCAGATATAGTTTGCAGTCTTTATTGAATTTTGAATCACCACTCTTATTGTTCTAGACTCGTTTATTAGCTTATTTACCCGGCACATTTTAGTGCATTTGGCTTCGAGCCACCCTTCAAGTGTAAGAGCCAGTGATGATATCCGGTTGCTTAAGCCAAAGTAGGTGGGGCGGGGTTTGAACCTGAGACTTGGTGGCTATAAGTTGAACGCCTTGGTCGTCAAGGCACCACTGTATTTTGTTTTGCGTAATGTTGTCGTAAATCTATTTCGCCTAATGAATACTCATTAAGTTAATGTGTCTGTATTATTTTCAGGTTGTTAGTAGGCGTAATGATTTACGTCTTTTAATCACTTCTGCTACAATGGACGCAGAAAGATTTGCTCAGTTTTTCGGTGATTGTCCTATTTTCCGAATACCTGGTCGAACATTTCCTGTTGATACACAATTCAGTAAAACAACGGTAATGGATTATGTAGATGCATCTGTGAAACAAGCAATTCAGGTTCATTTAGGCTCACCAACAGATGGTAAATCTTTTTTTGTTATAGACATTTGGTATCATAATTAGTTTGTTTTTGACTGAATAACGAATTCAATACTGAGGTGAGACTTAGGGTATTAAGTGAAAACAGTATATTGGATGATGAAAGAGTGAATTGTTATCAACTGGATTGGTTGGGACATGTTACATCTAGCTCGACAGGCGACGTTTACTGATGTAGAAGTAAATTGAAATGAATCTGGGAGCGACCACTTCAAAACATAACACCAATCCATAAAGTCACTGACTGTTGGACGTCCATGCAGTCATCCGAACCATTAGTTGAAGACTTTGGGTGACAGCTCGCACAACCGATTACGATATCATTCACCCTCTGTCTGTTGTTAGATATTGAGTTTTAAAATTATTCCATTCTTTCTCTTCTCCTCGAATCATTTTGACTATATTTATTTTTTTTTCTATCATTATTAATATTGTTAATATTCTGATATTTGTTGTGGTAATTCCATTTCACTGTGTTAATTTGGTATGGCAACTTGAACTGATCCACATATGTGTTAAGTTCTGTGTTGGTTATAACTGAAACATAGGTGTGTTGAATTTATCTATTTAATTTTAACTTATTTAACAGGAATGATGGAAAAATAAGTACTATCTGTTTAAATTTTCTTCACACAGGCTACGTAAAATTAAAACGAAGACTTTTTTTGTAGGTTTGATCCAAATTAGACCTGATATCTCTCGAAAATCTCCTCTGATATTTCGGACTATTGACAGATGAAACAAATAATGGACATTACTCCTTCTCTCTCATACTCGTCTATACTTAGCTAATCAGTATATTGTTCTTTTATTTACAAAATTTCACTATCCAAATCTTAAAGTCGATACCAGAAAGGAAAGATTTTGGGTATTGCTAAGTCGTCGTAAACTTTTGGATGCTCTTAGTTTACTGCTTATTTGAATGTCAAGTTTTTGTAATTAAAACTTGTGTAATATTTCAACAATAAGTCACGAGTTATATTTATGTTAGAAATGTCTGGAAGAAATAATTTCTGTAGTATTAAGTCGTTTATTGCTGTAAATACATTTAATGTTTCAATCCTTCGTTTCTTTTTCATTTATCTAGGTGATATACTCATTTTTATGCCTGGTCAAGAGGATATTGAAGTGACATGTGAACTAATTGCTGGTCAGTTGTTATTACATTTTTCTCATTTACGTCATCGACTGGGCTTAGAAAACTATTGAAAACCAGCCTTGGTATAGGACTCTTCAACAATGTGCATCTAGGAATCCACCAGCGATCGAACCCATGACTATTGAGTTTTTGGGAAAAACGGTTAACTTTTAGATCTTTGAGTTCGCATGTAATTGCATACCATTTATAACTTCACCCGTGTTACTGAATGGTGGTTGTGTAATGTCACAAATTGACTTAATTTGTTAATGTTGAACATTGTATGTCGGCTCAATGGTATAAGTGTTAGGTGCTTACTGCGAGACCTAAAGGCCGTATATTCGATCGTCGACAGCGTCTTGGATACATACTGCTGAGAATTCCCATACTTAGATGAAATAAATGTCCAGTACTTCCTGGTTTACAATGGTTATCTAAGATGTCAATCTAGTATGTAAACTACAAACTTGAATAATCTTCATAAACCCATAATACTAGTTTTTTTTTCTTTGCATCTTCACGTGTGCACTGTAATGATTATCATAATAATAGCCTATTGTTATTATTCGACAGTATTAAATACCCTTTCATGATTGAACTCGGATTCAAATGTTTTTTTCATGTTATGTCTACACCGAGATCTGCTCAAATTTGAGTGTTGCCGTTTTTCCAAACATGTGGTTATTATCACAGATCTATTGACCAGTTGCGCTTGCGCGACCGAATAGGATGTTTACAACATGTGAATTTAATTAATGAGAAAAAATAACTAAGAAGTCCCACCACGATGGTTGGTATATTTCCTCTAATTGAAGAAACAAGAAATAACTACTATAGAATTCACGCGTAAAATATATTTGACGACGGTAAAATGTTTCACAGAAACAATAATGATCATAAACAATGACGGATAAATATGAATGGCAGCTAATGATTGTTTGAACACTTTTATGCATAATTTTTTTAAAGAATATTCACAAGTTAACCGCTTATAAAATGATCGTTTTGTTATCATGTTGAATATTTTATTGCTGAAAATTCCTTACTGTAATCAAACATATGGTAGTAACTAAAGTGAGTCTGGTTATTATGATTATACTTATTTTCCGGCTCGATAAAACCTGTCACACCGGTTTGTTTAGACTTTTCGCTTAATACTATTCGACGTCAAACTTTTACTAAACATATGATAGCAACATATTCGATATATGTGAGGCATTGTTGCATAAACATGGTAACAGCCACTCGAAAAGGATAATTAGAAATTGTTTAGATCATATGGAGACAAGAAGTGCCGAAAATCGAGTAGGTCGTAAATAATATTGGTAGATAGTTGCTGTTGGATGTCATATTAAGATAAAATTCTTGTCTGATGATGAATAATGTTGTTCCTGTAGAGTTCTTACCGAGTAAACACTAATTATTTTCTACAAGCGTGATTTAAATAATCTTTTTATCTCATCTGTATTTTACCCTGTTGTAATTTTCAGAACGTTTGAGTAACTTGGATGAAGCTCCTCCACTGTCCATCCTCCCCATTTATTCTCAGTTACCGAGCGATCTTCAAGCAAAAATATTTATGAAGGCTGAAAATGGTGTCCGAAAATGTGTCGTGGCAACAAATATTGCTGAAACTTCATTAACTGGTAGGTTGTTGTTATTTTATGCTTTCTTTTGACGTTTAATTGAACGAATTGTGTATATCTGTCAGGATCTCCAACATTGAAGTAGACCAGTCTGTTAAGTTGATTAGCTTCATACTGTCCAATCACGAAAGATGAATCATACTGGAAAAATTACTTATTATTATAATATTTTCCTAGAATTTACATATCTTGAATAGTGATCCGAGGAGTTATTCGTACTTAATATAGCCAGTTTATGACATGGTACTGTGATATAAAAAGGCTGTATAGTACTAGCATATGTCGGCTTAGTGCTACTTCCTAACTTGGAGTCTTAGAGACAGCGCAACTCAGTGGTTTGAGACATCGTTAGACATATCTCAGAATAGAAACCATCAATAATCTTGCTGTAATTTTCTTTTATGCTCTTCATAAAGGTAACAGGAAGTTCATTGAATGAAAGTTTTTCTTTGGCATATTTCTTTCTACTATTTCTAATGATTTGATCAATGTTGTAAAAGAAAAATTATATCGATCTGTTATGATCAACGTGCACATTAATCCAAGTCGCTACACCACATCCAACAAAGCAAGAGAAAACTAAACATTAACACTTCGAAATAATACAAATATCAGTGGTCGCAAGAAAAAGAAACTAAGCATATTGAATATAGTTTAAAAATCAGTAATATAATCCCGAAACAAAAATCGTGGAATTATGCTAAACCTTATTAATGTAGAAGAATATAAAAAGTGAATGCGACTGCTCTTGTATCATATCACACAACATCTTCAGCCATTCATCACGATTATCTCGTGGATCTCATTGAGGTATTACCATACATTTATCGACACAGTTCAGATCAATAGTCAATAACTTCATAGACTTATGATACTCTTTAATTTAGTAATTGCTAGCTTTCCTCTGTCTTACAATCTCATTTATTTAAAAGCATGCTGAGTCGTAGTTAATCGAATTACACAGGGGTTTGCAATCCCATTTTTTGGTATTAGTTAAAATGAAAGTACCAGCGAAAAATTCAACAGAATAATTAGCAGAAATAAAAAAAATCTTTGTGTTACAAGAAATTTATTCATAAAATCACACTCCCTGTTATTTCGTCTAATCGTGTTACTAGATCCTGTTTTGATATCTCCTGAAAATGGCAGAACATATATATGTATATTCATAACCGACTCAGTGGTCCAGAGGTTAGGCGTTCGTGCGTGTGACCGAAAGTCCTGGGTTCGATTGCCGTGTGCAGGGTCCAATACTAGACCGAATCGGCTGTTCAGTGGTTCCAGGTTTTTCGATGTTGGTCTAACGTTGATCGGTTTATAATTTCAATCAAATTCAACAATCCCTACAACCTTTAACTGATATTCATACATCACTTGTCTTTTGCTTCTTCCTTATATTTTGCACATTTTTCCTAAAATCTCTCCATCATTATTATTTCATATATTATTCAACGTAATGGGAAAAGTAATAATTTGAACCAATGTTTTTTGTATATGATTTGATTTTCAGTTGATGGGATACGTTATGTGATCGATTGTGGTTATTGTAAATTGAAAGTTTTCAACCCTAAAATTGGTATGGATGCATTACAAATATTTCCAATTAGTCAAGCTAATGCTAATCAACGTGCTGGTCGTGCTGGTAGAACTGGTCCAGGGTAGGTATTTTATAGACTTCAGTTTGGAAAAATACTACCATAAATCGAATTTAATCTGTTTTGTTGTCTTTACATGTGGTATGCTTTAACCGTTTTATTCGGTATTTACAATATTTTCAGTCGATGCTTTTATATTCTCCCAACTGGGAAGTTATATACGGAAAGTTTCATTGTTGTTCTGGGCAATGTCACCAGCTCTTACTTTACGTAGAAGTGAGGTGTTTAGTTAATAATTCATAAGCGTTAAATCCACTCAGTTCTGATGAGCTTGTCTGTGAATGGTTGTTTTCGGAGGTGTCCGGTTACCTTTATTTACCTTTTTATTCCTGTCGAATGTTTTGCTATGTTGACTCATGGTTACGTAATTGGTTGTTGACTATTTCTGTACAGTTTAGTGAATGTAATGGATCTCTATATTTTCATTGATCTAACTGCCATCCATCCAGAAATTCTCTCGAACTCTTTGAGTCTCACCGATGTTTTCTCAATCGACTTTCTGCCTGTAGTTTTCCGCGTCCAATGATATGGGTGATAATATGTCACGTTGTTTTTCTGTCATTTTGTTTTCGTGTGTGCGTAGATAGATGGGTTGTCCACTGTAAAGTTCGTCTCAGTTGGTACAATTTAGTTAGTGGATGATATTACATTTGTAATCTCTTAATGTTGTCTTTTTGTCAGTATAAATCACCCAGCTCAGAGAACACAACGTAACTGAAGCTATCCACCTAAGTTATAAATCTTCATTATAACAGATTGCATTTAATAAACACTCTCCATCCTTATTGGTGATAATTTTATACTGTAGTTTGCACGCTATCGAAGCTCAGTATTAATGAGTGTTGAAAAGTTACCCGACAACCACATTTGTATGTTAAGTATCAATCTTATTTTTCAGGAGGAATTTTTACTTTCAGCAAATCTACTATGCGATGTCTCTTTCAATATTGATTATAAATATTTCAAGTAATGATTGTTCTTATCGGCAACTTTCTCGAAATATAACGTCACTAATACTTTCAGTCATCTTTCTGTTAATTTAGTAAACAACTAGTGCATATTTTTGTAAGTCATTTCACTTCAAGCCATAAATTTAACTATATTTGTGTTTTTCATTATCCGGCATTTCGGGTTACACTTCACTTGACGTTTCTGCCCAACTAGTTCTTTATGTTTTAACTATGGTGAATATTAGCTCGTTTTATAGGCATAACTTTCTGATATGACAATCCATAATATACCAGTTTTTACTTATTCGTTGATTTTACATTTGCTCTCCGTTATATACAAACGAAGAGTAAATGAATGGTAACTTCTAGGAATTCTTTATGGACTATTATTACATGTATTCTTATTGGGTAATTATTAAGTAACTAGATTATATGTATATTCATAGTCCTTCAATCACATGCTTTCATTTGACCTATTGGCTACTGTTATACGATTTGCCATTCTTAAATATATCGCGTATGTCTGAAATATACGATTCGTATAATGGAGGCTGATATTTCTGTTCTGGACTGAACGGGATGGGCTAGGCGAGAAGTTTCTATATAGAGGACCAATAAGGACTCGGAGTTGACTCAAGGCTGCTAGTGCTTTCGACGGATCATTGCTTTAGCCCCGGGGATAAGGTCACAGAAGTTGGTATTCTGACTGTCAAATTTGTCACATGATATTTGACAGGTCATAGAACATAACACTCTCATCTTCAAAACTGATAACAACCACAGTTCTAAGAAAGTGACTTGTCCACTAGGTGTTTTGTTGTTAATATATACCGCAAGTGAAATTTCAACAATCTTACATGTTGAAGCTAGTTTTTTTAAAACTGCATTTACTCACCAATTTACCACTAAATTTTCATGTTTATTCTTTCCAACTACACATTTTGTTTTTAGAGTGTGTTACCGTTTATACACTATAAGTCAGTTTCAAGATGAAATGCTAATCACATCTGTTCCAGAAATTCAGAGAACTAATCTGGCCAATGTTGTTCTTTTATTAAAATCTTTGGGTGTTCAAGATTTAATGCGATTTCATTTCATGGATGCTCCTCCACAGGTATATCTGGTTTACCAAAAATTTGTAAATCGAAAATTCCTTACAGTTTTGAAATTTTATTGAAAGTGTTGAGAAAAATATGTAAAACATATTTTTAGTGTTTGTATTGAACTACTAAGATCTGTTTGGGAATTCACTTTTAAAAGAGTACACTCACTCATCCCATTTATCATCTATTCTTTATGATTAACTTGAATATTCAGCTTGTTCATTCAATTCTCAAACTACTCTCATACTGTAGGCTCGAATCTTTCTCCTTGTTACACAGTTTTAGTTAGCTAGAGGTGTTAACACTAATCATGGGATAAATTACGTATGACTCAAAGTATTCTAGTTATTTCAACAATAATGGTTTTATTCTACTAACATTCCTAAATTATTCATACGATACTATTTTATAAAAGATATACTTGCCATCAAGTTGGTCATTATTTCAGATCATTAGTTTGTAATTTATAACCGTAGTACACATAAGTTACCATATTTGACTCTTCTTTGATATTCTAAGTAGTTTTGCTTTAGAAATACTGCTTGCATGTTAAAACCATTAAAAAGAAATAATCGAACAAAAAGATTCTGTTTCTATGTGTTTACGTTGTTACAATTTATTGTTTTCTTTGTATGCCTTAATTGGAATTGGGGTGCATTGTTCTGAATATTTGTAGGATAACATATTGAATTCAATGTATCAACTATGGATTTTCGGTGCTCTTGATAATACTGGTAGTTTAACAAATTTAGGTCGTCAAATGGTTGAATTTCCATTGGATCCAGCTTTGTCTAAATTATTAATTATTTCCTGTGATATGAATTGTTCTGAAGAGATTCTAACCATTGTATCAATGCTCTCTGTCCCAAGTGTATTCTACAGACCAAAAGGTCGTGAAGAAGAATCAGATAATGCAAGAGAGAAATTCCAAGTTCCAGAATCTGATCATTTAACACTATTGAACGTTTTCACTCAATGGCGTAAATCAGGTTATTCATCAGCATTTTGTGCAAAACACTTTTTACACTTAAAAGCTATGCGTAAAATTCGTGAGGTTCGACAACAAATGAAAGAAATCATGGAACAACACAACATGAATTTACAATCGATCGGCAGTGATTGGGATGTTGTGCGTGAATGTTTATGCGCTACTTTCTTCCATCAAGCTGCTCGTATCAAGGTAAAGTCTGAATTACGTCTTTTATATTTTCTTGTGGAATGATCACTTGATTTTAAAGAAGTGGGATATTGACTTTAATGTTTCCTTTTTTCACATATTTCTACCGGTGAAGAATTCTTTTAGTCGAATCCCATCTAAACCTATTTGAAAAATTTTAAACGGTTATATTGCTTTGTATAAATTAGTGAACTGGCAATGATTATGTGAATTCGGGGCTCCTGTAACACTTAAGTAATCAATCACAGTGTTTCAAACAATGTTTTTGGAGATTACCTGATGAACCATTAAAAGCCAAAGAGCATCGAATTTACATGTTGCATCCTAATTTATAATACTTTTGCTGAGCATATTCTCATGGCTGAACAGAGAATCAATCAGTGAACTTGTTTCCTCACTATTTCATAAATCCACTGAAACTGACCACATGGATTACCGTGTTCTGTTTATGATCAGAATTTTACAAGTTCTATTCTGTTTCGAATTGGTATTGATATATTTTAAGAATCGGGTCAAAAACTAGTACGAAATATTTATCGTCGACTACTGTCTTGTTTTCCAACTGCTATCCTTTCATGAGGACAACTAACTTCATATCATCATTTTATTTAGTGTAGTTCAAAATAATCTAGATATTTTATAAATTAATTTCAAATTAAGGTGATCAATGCATAGCATCTTTAGACTACTCTTTTCTGCATATAGATTTTGAGCTGTAGTATGGCGAATTCATATACATATGGATTAGTTTGTGATAAAATTGCCAGGAGTATACTTTGATTTAGATAACACAAGAACAGAGATCATAACTGTCGAGTTTTTATAACGAGAAAATAAAGTTTGTCGGGAAGAGATTCGACGAGCGGTTGTGTTGGACATATTTAGGACTCAATTTATAGACAATAATTTCATTCCCGGGTCAATGTTTTTCTTTGTTCACATAATATACCCGTATCGCATTGAATATTTAATTCATGGTTGCCACCTCAGATTATTATTTAATTTTTTTGTTAAGTTATTCCCACATTGTTGAGTAAATTTACGAACAAACCTATTTATCAACTTGTTCTTCGAGTTTCTCTACTTTTAACGTGTTAATGAAATGTTTACTTGAAGCTCATTACACTGTATTCAAAATATCTGCAGAGTTTCAGCAATGGACGTTTCTCATTATGTTGAGGAAGAATTCTCATCGAAAATGACGCTAAGGCTTTAGTTACTAAAAGATAGTAAATAGTGCAAGATTGATTTTTCTCAGTTTTTTTTTCTTTTTTTGGTTAAGTAATGTATGTCATGACTGATTAAGTCCAAACATGTAGAGATTAAAACTGTTTTCACCAATGACATATCGTTGTGTGGCAAACAGATTGGAATTCGACTCAGTGGTTCTAATGATTAAGTGTCAGTCGTAAGACTTGAAGCTTCTAGTCTCAATCTCCAGTATGGTCGTGGGTACTTACTGGTGAATTGTCCCATAACAGGATGAATTAGCTGTTCGGTGCTCCTTGATGCCTAATACTACTCCAAATAGTAAAATAAATCTTTGATCAACACAACTCTTGCTAATTATCGTGATTATTCATGATGTATGATCTAATGAGTTTCTTACTCACATGATGATTAATAAATTTCTTCAGTACTTTTCATGACACAAAATTTTTTTTTTCGTAAACAAAATCAATTTTCAGGGTTTAGGTGAATATGTGAATTTACGGACTGGTATGCCTTGCCATCTACATCCAACTAGTGCTCTATATGGAATGGGTTACACTCCAGACTATGTTATTTATCATGAATTAATTATGACAACAAAAGAATATATGCAATGTGTTACATCTGTCGATGGTAATTGGCTAGCTAAAGTCGGTCCTATGTTTTACAGGTAAACTAAATTGACATTTCCGAATGTTTTTGTTTTTCGATCAGTATGTGGCTAAAATCGTGTTTGTAGCATGAGAAGTTTGTGGAGATTGTTGAGCTTCATAGTTTACAACATGGATTGACCTTAGTCAGATAGCCTTTAAAAACCAGAACTCACTGAACAATTGTTTCGTCTTGCTAAGGGTTCCTTCAGCAGGATATACTTACGACCCCACCTGGAATCGAAATAACTTTCTGGTGCTTCCTGCTCTTCAAGCGTTATCTAACTAAGGCAAACCACTATTGGATACTATAAATTCATATTTCATTGTGTGCATTGTAAAGTGATTCGATGGTTATCAGTATAAGAATAGAAGTAGGAGTGTCAAGGTGATATGAATACAGTTATTACGCCATGTAGAATACATTGTAATAAAACTATTCTTCGTTGCAAAACGGATAACGTAATTGGCTTTTCTGACCTTTACTAATCCACACTATTAAATGCTTCCGAATGCGAATGAGTGACCTCGATGGATGACCTGCATAGCTAGCTTCGCATGCGCAGTTGAAATGATAGCGTAAAATGACACAGCTCCCCTTTTATATGCGTCTTTATGTGTAAGATAAGTTGCCAAGACTGACAAATTCAATGTGCATACACTAGTTATCTTGTTCTAACTCAGCTAGGTATGTTGGTCTTTCCTCGAGACCACTTCGCATTCGTGAGTACCTACCAGCGTGGCATAAGTACAAGTTAAATTAAGTCATTTAAATCATTGATTCTGCAAAGAGTAGTGGACACGACATCCGGATTCCGACGTATCTTTTAATATCATTTACAAAACTGGTTCTCTTTTGATCTCTTTTTATGGTTTAGTCGTAAAATTTTTTAATTTAATGAACAATATTCCCTACATAACAAAGGTGAACTTCTTTGTCGTTCCCTACCCTTAGTTTCCCATCCTCTGTTAAAGCTTTACTTTGTGGTTACAATGAAAATAATACCTTGTATGACTAGTATGGTTTCATATTATAGTTGATCTAATGTTCATGCACACCCTTATTTCTAATAGGGTTACAACACAATCCCAGTCCAACTACTATTCATTTAGTCTTATTCACCTGGTACAATTTATTGCTAATGTTATGCTATGTGTAACACATTCACTCAATACACTTTTTTCACTTATTTTTCAGTGTTAAAGATCCTAACCTTACTCGGTTGGAACGAAAGCGACAAGCTGAAGAACAACTCGTAGAAATGGAAAATGAAATGCGTCTGGCTGAAGAACAGCTTTCTCGTCGACGTGAAGAACTTTCAGCATCTATTGGTTCAAGTCGTTTGTAAGTAAACCATCTGTTCATTCTTGTTTAGGATAATCTTGTTTCAATACTTATTTTTTTCCAGTTATCCTAAATAGTCACTCTGCATTTAATCGACTAAAGAGTAGTGACCAATGTTATCCGGTTGGGTTTTATCGGTCAACTTGTAATGCAGCTACTAGTTTGACTGACTCGACTTCGGGTGTACTATTTTTAAAAAGTCAAATGGTTGAACGTAGTTGACAGGAAACCTTGAACCTAGGTCTTGTACTTATTAGGACTCGTCCTCATTAAGGAATACGTGCAATCTTGTGGGATTTAATGCTCCATGTGAACTTAGAAACCACGTCACTCAGCTTTACAGATTGAGACGTTGCCACTAAGGTAATTGCCCCTCAGCTGACCTCTTGTAGGACTGAGATATTTACAATTGATTGGTCACTAAATGGTGACCAATATTACCTTTGTCTAGTCCTTTAGTGCTGGTTATCTACCGTCAACCTACCTACCATTTCAATGTCATCACTGTGTATTATTAAACGCTGGGAAGTCGTAGCTGTATATATACCCATTGATGAGTATTGGTGTAATAAAAAGCGTATGATAATTTTAACACCTAAAATCTAAGGATAGATAAAGAGTGAATACATCTGCGTCATTGCGACTGATTGTAAGCTATTCCACTCGATGTTTTCAGTCATTAGTTACGATAATCGAGCGAACTCTTACTAGGTAATCTTTATCCAACTACACGGCTCAGTTCAACAGTTAACAACTTCATGTAGTAATGCTACGATTTAGTTTGGCTGCTTTACAACTTTTTTCCCCAACTTGATTCTACACCAGCAACTACCTCTCGCTGAAGTATTTTTTGCTTATCCTCTCCCTCCCCATGCCTTCAAAGTGTTATTTTACCTTGTAACAAAAACCTTTTGTTGTTTCTATTGTATATGAGTTTCACGTGCTTTTTCTAAAGAAAAAAGCTTAAAATATTTTCCTCCTTTCTTTTTATCTCTCTTTTCTACAGGCGACCAATAATTACACCTGGTATGCGCACTCCTGGTACTCCTTTGGTGTCTAAACGTCCTGGCAGTAGACTTGGGTTATAATCATATCTGTTGTACGATTATTAATTAATGTACATATTTTATTTTTGTAAAATATTTTCCAATATAAATTAAAAACTCATCTTTCAAATATATTTATCTTACCACAATTTGTCTTCTTATTCTATCATTAATATTATTATTATTAATTACAATAATCTATATATGGTACTTGCATGTATAGTTGATCTGATTGTTTCGTAGTTACACCTAAATGGATTATTTCAGTATGAGTAATCCTTCATCAAATAATTCTGTCATTTGATCTAATACAACTTCGATATTATACATACGTTGTGATGTTTGCTAAGTACAGGGTTATTGTGGAGATTGTAATAATTTCAATGGTTGAGATCATAAGTCAATTGAAGCTAGATCACTATGGAAAGCCTGGAAGCACTGGACAAGCATATACTTTATGATGTTAATCATTTCATTTCATACATCTCAACTAGGAAATCAAATTAACAAGATAGATATAGTTTGTTGAAAACTAGAAATATAGATCTATTAACAGCAAAAAAAAAAACTAGTTCAACCCTTAATATCAAAATGATGTTATATTTTGTAATATCCCAATGAGTAGAAAGTTGAATTTTTGATATTTTATGACCTAGTGTAAGTAGTAAAACTACTCATTGGGGTATCATAACTTTATCATCATTTTACTGTGAACATTCTATTCACTGTAGAGTTCATTTGAAATTGTCAGGTTTAGTATTAATACCTAAAGGTGTGTCTAGAGTCTTAAAGGTAGACAAACAACTGTTTCTCAACACTTTTAGATTTCTGAAGTTCTGTAAATCTGTGGAATGATTTTGTTTTTGCCGGTATCATATTCTCTAGGCCAGGTTGTTTAGTTGGGGAGCGTTCAGTATTTTCTTGAACAACATCATTAGCGCTTTCACGAAATAGCCCCTGATGATGAACACAAAACTAACAAAAACAATCACCTGAGCTGTATATCTTCTCTATCATTGCTCTTCATTTATATTCAGCGTTGTTTTGTTGGTTGTATGCACGATTGTTCTATACAATGTTTTAATAAGCATATGAAATAAGTTTTTGAAGATAATTAAGAGTGAGTTAGCTTCACCGTGTTATTGTTATTTGGTTGATTGTTTCAAGTGACGTAACAATCACACAACGTAATTATCAAACTAATTTCGATTTCTGTATGTAGATTTTAGCTGAGTAAGAGTAATTATATATGGTGTAGTAGATGTGACTCGTGTTAGTGAACGCAGATTAATTGATTGGAGCCCTCACGATCAGTGGTTAAAGATAATGGCTGTTATAACTCGGAATCGGTTATCACAGTGTTAAACATTCATCCACTCTTTGTCTTCATCTAGAATTTGAGCTTCATTCTTATATATATACCTTTTCAAATAATATTTAGTCTTTCTCATTACCAATGATATTATTATTAGTTTAACTCTTGTTTTTCTTCTCGTACTGATGTAATATAACAACTTGGCCTAACGCGCATTTGTGCTAGTCTCTGTGTTGATTATAACTGATTGAATAAATGTAATGAGGCCACTGATTATATTGTAATTTAAAATTAATCTGATAGACACAATAGGTCATTTAGCTAAATTAGATTTCAAAATGTTACAAGGATTTATAATTGCATACGAAACTGCCGAAATTTTTTTAAAACACTTATATTTCATCACCGACATTCAGTACATCTTCCCTATATTCCAATGACTTTGAACTGTAAGGATATATTAAATGCTGCTACATGTTTGCAATTTCCGTACTGACGGAGTTGATTTTGGTCATAAAAATAACCATATGATTAGTAGGCATTCTAGATATTTGTATCATGTATCATTTCACTCTAATAATAAGCGTTGAACCTAGTCACGTTATGTACTAATAGCTAAAAATGACTATATATATAGAAAATACTGTCCGTTATTTTAAGAGTAGCTTATATTTAGCTGTTTATCATATTAATTTATTCTATCATTGGTTTTCAAATTCTCAGTTTCTTTTTTTCCTCTTCAGTTCAATAGTGAACATTAGCAACGTACTTATTTTGTGTAGTTTGCTTCATCCTAGACTACACTTAACAGATCTTCCGAATTCTTTCATCTTCATTCGTCATACTGTTTAGTTGTGACCTCTTTTTTAGATATACTAAGTTTTAATTTCGGTAAACGTATAATATACTAACAACTTGGAGGGATTTATCAGGCAATCAGGAAACGCTGCCTAGATACAAAACAATTGACAGCAAAGAAAAAAAACTATAACAGTGGAATAATAACTTTGATCTCAATAATCAACCTTCAAATGCCAAATTATTCTTCGTAGTAAATGGAAAAGGTTAGGTTTTGCATATTACGAGTCGGGCTAGTATTATAATTCTAGGCTATCACTCCATAGAGTTTTTGTCACCAATCGACACCGGCGATAATGCAAAAAGGTCAGGATGACGTATCAAGAGTTAAGCTGGAGTTCTGAGATGGGTTTACAAATTAAGGTTAAGATTTTCATCATAAACTGACAGCTATGATCCAATGCTTTGTCACCCTTTTGTTTACAAACTTGAGAAACTTAGGGTTGGGATTTAGAGTGAGTATGAAAAAGAAACATTACTTAGCGTCACCAAACCTTTTTGACTACACAATCAATGACGTAACTATTTTGACACAATCTTCCTTAGAGTAGGTACGTCATGTAATTTAGCTTAAACACCACCTAAGGTTCACGTTATCGTTGCATAATGTGTATTTTTATTGATTTAAAGCACTCCAAAAACCAAATATCGTCATTTTCTACTAGGTTAGTATTAACATACACGTTATTTATCACCGCACTTTAAACTTTACGCAAAACAATTGAGATGTCATCTTAATTTAGGTTGGTGAACTCAAGGCCGTCGGTACACTATACTTATACCACTATTTCTTTACTTTCATACTAGTTGACTGGTTCGTAAATTTTGTGACCAACTGCTGAATAGTCAAAACATGTGTTTCGTCCTGTTTGGAATTCGTCAACTGGGTATGTTAACATCCTTAGCGGGTGTCGTCTCTACTGAAATTTAGAAATAGTATCCGTCTTGTTAATTTACTGAGTTAAAACAAACACCCTTTTATTGACCGTTATCAGTCGTATATTTTAAGAACTCATGTTTTATTCTGTTGTGGTGTATTAAGGGGATGAATATTAAAATTGGTCAATTGATTTACCATTTTACTATAACTAACCTATTATTGAATGAATAAGATTGTCATTTATGTATCATATATTGAGATATTCCTAAAAATACTCATGAAGAGTTCTACTATATAAATACTTCAACATATTTTGAGAGATTTTTTCCCTTTAATTTCATATCCTGTTTGTTACTTTTTTTCACAAATACTGTTTCGATTTAGTCGAGTGAACATTTGCAGGATCCTGAACAAGTTGAAGAAGCTTTGGGTATTTTAAAAGATGACAAAGAATTTGAGGAATTCGAAAAAGAAAGTATGTTGTACTTTTTAATTATGGTTATTATCACTTTTTTCCCGAGTGTCACATAAATAAATTTAACGAACTTAACATATTTTTATTTCTTTATAACGGATACTGGTTTAAAAAGAAAAGCATTTTGAAGTATGCTATATATACAACTTAGCAATTATAGTGTAATGGATGCTATTCACAAGGATGTTTGTAAGTAGTGTGTAGCGGAACGTGGCGTCAAGTTGCAACAGTTGTCAGGCATAGCGAAGACTTTCAGTGTACTGAAAGCACAACGTTGACATAACACACCGAAAGTTGCAAATGGACGATTGACGGCTATGTATATGTACTATGTAAATACTCGTAACTTGTAATAAATATGCATACATCCAGCCCATTGTTGTGTTTTACACTAGGAATAAGATGTGTGCTGAATAAATTGTTAGTATTTATAAAAATAAAAAGCAATTTAAGGTGCGAAAACATTGAATAGACGAGGAAACTTTTATATTAGGCGTTTTGAGTGTTTATTTAACCTCTAGTATAGTTCTGTTGATTCCTTACCGAGGCTTCAACTAAATGACCGAGTAATGCGTCAGATTCGGGAAACTAAAACACAAAACTATCTGTGAAGACGGTATTATAATTACGAAATTATGTGAAGCAAAATACAAACATCAATTAGTCAGGTGTCCATAGTATTGACCAAGTCAAAGATTTCTTCCTATAATAAACTTATAGAGTTATTTACAATGAAATAGGATGTGATTATATTTGTGTCCATTGGACTAAAAGTGTTTATATGACATGTTTCTATTTCTTTTAAATTAGCTTGGACAGCATCAGAGGAAGAGATTTCAGATCTGCAAGTATGGGATGACAAATGGGATTGTGAAGTTGAGATAGATGACCAGTTTACTCAATATTTAAGGTGAATGTTGATGTGACTAATTTTTCTTTGTTTCATTATTCTTGGGTTTTTGTTCATTACTTGTCGTATAATAATGTGTTTGCTTTTCCAGTGATATGTTTTTAGACTGTTCATTGAATTGTGTTACATATGTGATGGCAACTTTACTGATTGTTCTCATATAAGGTCAAATGTTATGTGAATGTTTTTCTTAGATGTGGCTTCGGATGGAGGGAGCTTTATGTACAATGACTAAATTAGGAGATACACCTGGGAATTTCTGAATATTTCATTCCGTATTACATAAATTACTCCTTTGAAAATAACGATTAAATCTCGAGTTTGTCTGTTGAACGGATGGTAGTGAGGTAGAAGCGAAGTGTGATAATACGTCATGTCGTCGAAAATACTTGAATACCTGTTTGGTGATTCCATTTTCTTAAACCTTCTGAAAATACTGATTGACCTGGTGAAGTATAGTTAGCAATTGCATAATCTTTTACCATCCTTGCTATTACTGATACCGATTGAATCCTGTTAGCTGCCGTTCCGATGGAGATTTCGGTCCGACCACGACCTTCATCAGGTTGTCAATTACGATACCAATGTATTAACTGGTAATTTTAACATAGATTGGACTCCCAACTGTTCTTTGAATTGATTATTGTCATTCGTAATTAAAACCTTGTAGTGAACATGGACACGAGTGAGGGCAATCGAGTGTATTTGAACACGAAATTACTGAATGTCTCACTAAAATCTGAGAACTATAAAGCAAATAGTTAATTTGCAAAATATCAATCCATTGTGATAAGATGGTTGTTGGAGGTAGTCAACACGAAACCCTGGACCCGGGTTTCGTGCTACTTGGCATTCGTCAGCAAGGTGTACCTGTAATCTTGAGGGAACTGGTGCTCCTTGATGGATCCGATCCCGTGTCCAGGGTTTCCTGTTGACTACCTCCAACCATCATCTTATCTCAACATAGTGCACGTAACGTCGAGTCACCTAGACTAGCGGCCAGATTGCAACTTGATTGATAGCATTCGATCTGTACCAAGAAGGACTTGACACACATGACATTGATCACCACCCAGTGATCAATCAACTGTGAATCAATCCATTGCCTCGAACTTAACTGCTCCTTTTGCAAATCTCAGTCTATAGCCTCAGATTTCACTGTTCGTGCATTTTCATACCAATTTCTTTCCGTTCCCGTCCCAGTTCTTTCCTTCTTGATCTTCTACTGAAATACATTCTATTCCGGACTATCCTTTTATACTACTTATGTGGATATAAGTAGCTCACACCACAACTTGAGTAAAATCACACAGTCAACAAATTTTTCATCTACTTAAGCTTTTATAAATCAGATTTAAGAAAGAAGAAACTAATTCATGTTTAAACAGTATAAATGTGCACTCTCCAAGTTCATAACATTTAAGGGTTCCACATGGATTTGTACGTTAAGTTATAAAATACACGATTCAAATTTCTTAATATCAAGGCGACTAAGATTATTCTTTTTATTTTCAGACAAGAACTGACCAAACTTGGCCACTTACGCGAAACTAATTAAATTCATTGTTAAACATTTCAAATAAATCATTATCACAATGATTGCGTTCCAAATAAACTATTTGTAATGAATAATACGTTCACATTCCTCGTGTTACAAGTTTTGACTTTCCGATTTAGACAACTATTGAGAAAATCCAAATTTCCTACGACTTTGCGCACATCGTTAAAATGAGACGAATACTTACAGAGAGGTGCAAGTATTCTTAAAATGATGTAATTACAAAAGTAAATCACTTTGCTAAAAGAGGATAATCTACTGTCGTTAAATGTGTGCTGGATTACCTTAATCGTCCGTATGCGAAATAAACTATTTGACTACGTTGTGATGATATAGACTTTTATAAACGAAGTCAATCGAAAAATCAAACTAAAGTTTTCATTGGATATCGTTATTTGGGCTTAAATAATGAAAATACACCAAAATCATCAATTTGAAGTGTGAACTTCCCCCACAATCTTAAATTCTAGAAAACAGTACATTGTCGAGCATATAAATCCAAAGATATAGTGAGAACGGACTTACGCGTGTATAGATAACAGTACATCAGATCTGTTAAGAAGACGTTTATTGCGCATTTATCATGAAACAACATAAATAAGGCAACTTCAGTAACCAAAATCTTTTACTAGTATAGTTAAGCAAAGCATAAATAAGAATGCCTATTATATCACAAGGTAATATGCATATCATATATACGTTGTCACAAGAACATCCTTATTAATGTTATAGAATTGAAAAGTAAGAAAGAAGAAATTTTATTTGACCAAATGGTGAACTACTAGTATCGTTGAAGCAAAGTGAAATGAAATGAAAGTACCATAATTGGGTAAGTCAGTCAGTCAGTCAGCTACAACGTAGGACCAGGCACATATGTGCATCGGTCCAGGTTGCCATACCTCATTAGCACAGCAAGATGAACACCGGATTCATAAAAGTAGTTAATTCAGAGGTGGTAATATATAGGAGGATTGCAATAAGGATATAGTATAGGAAGAAAGAATTAGTTCGTAGAGAGAAAGATACGAAGTGATTTTAATCTCTTAGTTTAAGGGAAGACAGGGAGTGTATACACCGACGCCATTGTAATCGATTCTGAGCCATGTCACCAAGAGTCTCTAACCATTGGTTACGATAGTCACGCGGACCCCAACCAAGTAGTCTGCATCTACCAACATGGCTCAGACTAGAAGTTAGTGACTTGAAGCACTGATGCCACGTTTTGGTTTGGCCGCCCCTAACTTTCTTCCAACCATCCCGAACACCGGTTAGCATTGCGCGTCGTGGTAATCGGTGTTCAGGCATACGCAACACGTGGCCCAACCATCTCATTCGATGAAGATTCACAACCTCATCAACTGATTTACCATCATTCCCTAATACCCCGCGTCTAACCTCACTATTACTTACCCGGTGATGCCAGCAGACGCCAGCAATATTTCTAAGGCATCTGTAGTCAAATACTAGTAGCTTACGAGTGTCCTCTAGTCGGCCATAAATTAAACAGAACGGACTGCCGGGCATTGTGTTGTTGTTAATTGGGTAAAGATGTACCATACTATAGTTTGAATTAAATTAGATATCCACCATGAGAAAAAACATTTATGAAAAAAATATTGGTACATTGCTTGTTCTTCTATACCGTTGTTCATTAACATGATATAAGGTAGCTGTCCCCAACCGAATGAACAGCCTGCACATAAAATAATCATTAGAATATTCACTGTTGTTGATGGCTGAATGAGTACTTTATCAACAAGCGACTACAATAGGAAAGTTATGATAAATTGGTATTAGGATAGTTTGAACACTAAATAAGAATGTTTTGATTTGAAAAAAATTAGCGTATATTTCTTACATCAAAGATAATTCGCCATATATTAACCCTACAGTCTATGTCAATTAAATGTCAATAAGTGAGCATGATTTAACAAAGCTTTTAATAAAGTAACCAACTGCGTGGTACTAATTAGTGAAAGTGATTGATTACATAATCTTAACGTAGTTTTGATCTGAAAATTTCTACAAGGTGAATACATTTCTTAACTATAACTTCAAGATAAATTTACTAACTGGAATAGATTGAAATGTAACTTGACTGTGAGAAATTACATATTTTCGGACTGTAGCTATCACTGAATTATAGAACGCATATCTCATGCTACTTGGTATTTGTCAGTTTTATATAACTCACATTAACTTGGTGCTGATGTTATTTTGTGTTGTCATAATCAGTGATGGATAACAGGCTCCATAGATGCAAGACCACTGGTAGTAGGCAGTCGTGGTAGTGGGTGACTCTTAGCGACCGAGTGTAGTTGAACAGTATTGATAGGTCCAATGAATTACCTGTCTACTTCAAGTGAAGAAATAGGGTGGAAAAAGTAACTAATACAACTGCAAAGTAGGAAAAATAAGGCAAACTGAACTTGAAGTCCACTTTGGTCTAGACGTGTAGAGCCTATAATGTCTGAGTGGGGCTCAGAAATGTTCGTACGTGCTAGATCAGCGCAAGTGAGGGCTTGATCAAGCGGTTTTACAAACGTATGTAATTCATCTGCCATGCGTAGTTCGGAGGGAATACTGTTCCATATTATTGCATACGTGATGAGGAAGAAGTTTTTCCGAGTTTTTGATCTGTGTTTCTCAACTTCGACGGTAAATACTTTGTTTCGAAGTTCGTATTCATGTGTGTCTTGGGCAAGAACTATCTTACATGTTGAATAAGTAAGGTTTTTGAGTAGTTTGAAGTAGAGAATCAAATTAGACCTAAGCCTTCTTTTCCAAAAGGGTTCTATTCCTAAGATTTGGCATCGGGAACTGTAGTTAGTGATCGATTCAGTCCTAAGTATTTTTCGGGTGAAGTCTCAGTGTATTCCTTCCACCTTTAGCGTATCAAATAGGCGTAGGTTGGATAATAAGAACGAGCAGTATTCAACGATAGGTCATACACAAACTTTATAAAGAAGGATTTTAGATTCATTTTGATAGAAATTACGGAGAATGAAACTAAGCAATTTCCGAATGTTAGATGCTTTGGTTGAGATGTGTCCAGAGAATTTAAGACTGTGAGTAATGTACCCCTAGGTCAGTTACTGATGCCAGTCTGGGCATTGTGTTGTTGTTAAGTGTTAGTTTTATATTAAGAGACGTGTCTCCTATACACAACCAGCCGCATCTCTCTATGTTGAGCTCTAACCACAGCGTTTGCGCCAGTCGTCTACCATGTTGAGTTAATGTTGGATTGTTTGCATAGTACTACGTACATCTCAAATGTCAGTTTTATTGATGACTTTTAAGTCATCGGCATAGAGGTAGGTCTTACCTGTGCCAAAGCATTCGCATATATTGTTGATGTAAATTATAAAGAGCAATGGACTTAAGACACTACACTGCACAACACCACTGATTATTGGTTGAGGTGTAGATGTTGTACAGTTAATCTTGTTTATTTGGTATCTGTTCGTAAGAAAAGGTTTGATCCATTGCAAAAGGGGATTTATAATTCCGACTGACTTAAGTCTTTCGATTAGAAGCTTATGAGGTACTTTATCAAAGGCTTTCTTAATATCGAAGTATAGTAGAACCACTAGTTTCTTCTGGTCACGTATCGAGTAACCTCGTTAAAGAATTCTATCAGACATGTACTGCAGGACCTTGTTCTAATGAAGCCGTGTTGTGACAAGTCTATTGGATCTTCCTTAAGTAGGTGATCAGATAGTTGATTTTGTATCACTTTTTCCATTATGCGTGATATAACTGGAGTGATATTTATAGGTCTGCAGTTTCCGACCAGGTTTTTCGGTCCTGATTTGTGTTTGGGAAGAACATACGTTACCTTCCAGGTTTCCGGATATGTACCTGTCTCTAACGATAATGTGCATATTTTGAGTGGTAGCGTCGGTATATCCGGTCCTGACATTTTATAAAAGATTGAAAGGATGTCATCGGCACCAGAACTCGCATTTGGCTTAAGGGTTTTAATGGTGGTATGTATACTGGGGCACTATTGAGGCATAAGTGGATTGGCATTTTTGGTAGCTGAGTGGTTGGGCTGAGGATGAGTGGTTGCAGCTGCCTTATGCGCGGTTTTGTTCTTAGGACTAATGACAGTATGCGGCATGCCTCCAATTGGGTGGGGTAGTGTATGGTGTTTTAGGATTTTTGCAGTGACAAGCGCTGTAGCTGCCGCGGCTACGTAGTCTGGGTTGATTAGTTTGCGTTCTATTGCGGATTCGACGCTGGATAGCAGTCCTGTCATGAATGATTCTAATTCTTTTAAATGTTGGAATACGCCTTAGTAATGACTGACTACTGAGGAGGTGATTAGCTTCAGTGATAGCACGGAACTAAAATAGAATGGACAGGAGGCTTTAGTGTGTGCTTTACGTAATCTTCTTGTTACACATCAAGAACGCGACAATCCACATTTTTGTAGTAGAGTATTTTTAGAAATCGTTACGTTGGCACTATCATGTATATTATACACAATGACATTCCGCATACACTGAAGTCTTTTCAACACTTCAGACCATATATGGTCTATTACTTTTTCAGTGTTTTCTTATAATTTTGAGACCGGATTTTCTGGAACATTGATTAAATATTTGTACGGCAATAAGTCTTGAACAGTTTGGGTGAGGCTAATTTCTGTTTGGCTGCTTTTAGATCTACCAGTGGTGAGATTATTGGAGTTTATATCAAAGCTTTTAAGGTCGATATGGTTACATACAGACCTGTTGCAAGTGTCTACTGGGTGGTCACCTTGTGCATACTTAGTTGGAGGATGGAGTATATGTCTGGGTGAGTCAAGATCTACATCATCGGGCTGGCTATTGTAGGCAGGCTTACATGTACTCCGTGGGCCGCTACTCAGGATGGCAGATTGTAAAAGTGTTGGGTTTTGGGGTCAATCACACTGTCTAAATACTGCTCACAACATGTGATGTTTTTGTTTGGACTGAAAAATGATGTCAACTCTAACGGTATGTGACTGCTCTTATTTACATCTATAAACGAGATTCAAGGTAGTGATATGTCATGCCCAAGTAAACGGTGCACGTTTAGTGTAGCTGAAGGAAGATCAGAGTAGGATGCCGACTGATCAGTGCGTTAATAAAGCTTCACTTTAGTGACTGATTTAGATCTTTTGCAGGTGCTATAGGCTACAAGCTCGTGACAGGGATA